ACCCCCTTAACCAGCCTAGGCAACTCGGTGTCCTCAGAGGAAAATGTGACTGGCCATGCAACAAAACKCTGACCTAGTGACCTATGCCATCTCCTGTCCAAAGAAAGACGGCATTAGTCAAGACAGTGGTCACCAGAGTGTGACCTGTAGGGATTTGTACTGTATTGCCCAGAACCCGAGGGGCATATTTGGGAGTTTGTGCTGCCTGTGCTGAATGATCCTGGCAGTGACTCCATGAGTATGGTGGGATGTCACTCAGACCCATCCAATTCTTCTCTGAGATCACACTCACTGGTCAGTCCCTAGCTGGTGCCCAGACACAAGCCAGAGGCTAGGAAGGTGGCCATCAGTGTTCTGAGAAAGTATAAGTCCCTCTGGAGATTGATGATGCCCGAAAGCCTGATCTTAGCAGGATCTTTGCAGTATCTATCACACAGAGGCATGCATGAATCCCGGTACAAGGACAGCTTTTCTGCGAGTGTAAGTAAGACCCCGTGGGGAATATGGGAAATATTGTCTAGGGAGAAATGACATTTTGAAAAATGGCACAGGCTTTGTACTCAGACAAGCTTCAGCTCTGCCAGGTTATCACTGTATATAACCACAGGCAAATTACTTAACATGTCTAGTCTCAGTTTCTGCATCTCTAAAATGGGGATAATGTCCGCCAATCATTGAATCTAGTGAGCAATAGTAATAATAGTAATAGATAATATATATTAAGGGCTTACTATGAGCCAGGCTCTGCCTTAAACACGTTACATATACTAATACACTTAGTCCTCCCAATAGCCTCAGGTGGGAGGCACGTTAGTCTCTCCATTGGAGGGAGGAAGGTGGGGAAGGCCCTAGCAAGTCTAAGCATGGCCTCAGACTGCATCAACTGAGCTGCTCACTCGGCCAGCCTCATGCAGTCAGGTCCCCAGACACACTCCCATGACTTCCTGCAGGCATAGACTGAGGGCCAAGGCCCTTGGCTTCAGGAAGACCCAGTCACCCATGATGCCCAAATGCTCACTTCCACCCAGGGTGGGCTCTGGGCTCTGGCTGCCTTGGCCTGGGCTGGGTGCCCAGAACAGGCAGGCCTGGCTGGATGGCTTTCCCTGGCTCTGGCCATGGGGACAGGAGGCAGCGGCCCAGCTGGGCCCTGGCCGTAATGAGGCCTCATTAGTGGGATCCAGCTGCTCCAGCCCCACTTAGGGAGGCTGACTCCCCCAGCCCCTGCCTCTGACTTTTCTTAATAAGAGTGGGCATGCCTCCAGAGGGGCAAGGAGTCTAGGGGCTTTATTGTCCCCTGTGACTCTGGAGGGAAAGGCCCRCTGAGCTAGGACTAAGGAGTGCTCGGAATGGGGGGGCTGGCTGGGGAAGTGAGGCTGTGTGGCTGAGTAGATGGGCCAGAAGGAAGGCGGGAGGGAAGGGAGGGTAAGATCCTAGCGCCATGAAGCCTGAGGAAGGCAGGGCCTGTGCCTCTGAGTCTAGATATTCCACTGCACTGGAAAGGTGTTATCTGCTCATCTAGGTTCAGCAGAAGACCATGGCTCAGGCTGTCCTAGTCGGGACAGCAGCTCCTCATATAGACCTCATAAGGAGATATGAGAGTGCCCACTACATGTCAGTCCCTGAGCAAGAAGAGCACCTAATGCACGCTAGGACCTGCATGAACAGAGAACCCACTGTGTGCCAAGTCCATTGCTGGAAGAATACACATCATGTGGCATGTATGTGCCAGGACAGTGCCCATGTGTGCCAGGTCTAATGCTGAGAGAGCTCTCACTATGTGTCYACTCCATGCCAAGTGAACCCCTGTGCTACGTCCTACGCTAGATGAGTACCCTGTGTATGCCAATTTCCATGCCAGGAGAGGACCCAAGGTACRCCCATCCTGAGCTGGGGGAGCACCTGCTGTGCACCTGGCACTGTGCTAGATGAGTGCCCACTGGGTGGCAGACTCTATACTAAGGAAGTGCCCAAGGTGTGCCAAGTCGGTACTAATTGAACATGTGCCACATGCCAAGACTTGTGCTAAGTGAGTGCCCAGGGGTAACAGGCCCTCTACAAAGAGTGCCCAATGTGTGCCAAGCTCTGTGCTCAGTGACTCCACAATGTGTGCCAAGCCTATACTCGTTGAGCACTTGCTGCATGCCAAGACTGGACTGGGTGAGCACCCACTGTGTGCCAGGCCCTGTGATGGATTGTGCAGATAAGAGGTACAGAAACCCTCATGTGAAAGCATAAGAGAACACGGCAGGGAGTGGCAGGCCCAATGGCCACAGAGCCTTCTGGGATTTATGTACTCTGGCACCCAGAGCCCTAGCGCCAGAGTGACTGTGCTCTTATTTATCATGAGGCTGCTGAGAGGCAAAGGTAACCAATGTCTTCAGAGATATGGGCAGAAGCTAAGGCCCTGGCTGAGCCACTGGCTTCAGGAAGACCCAGTCACCCATGATGCTCATGGGTGTGAGGCTCACCACAGGCAAGGGGACTGAGACAGCCAGCTTGGCTTCAGATAGTGGGTTAAAACTGAACCAGTGGGGGATTGTCTCCTGCCCTGGGCTCCCCTCCTCCAGCTCCTGTCCTTTGAGACCCAGGCATCTCTGCTGCCCTACACGTATACAGAGGCCTTAGGTCTCCATGGAAGGTCCACTCCACCCATCCCCGGTGCCCCCGAGCATCCCAGCTGCTCCCAGGCTTGGAGGCACCCTGGCCAGCTGGGTTCTTGCACGGCCCTGTCCTAGGAGCTGCTGAGGCGTGAGGGAGGCAGCTGAGCTGGCCTGGCAGAGACCATCTGGGCTAGGAGTGGGGGGAGAGACACGTGCAGCAAGCATGTGGGCCTGGGCACGTGCTGGGAAGTGACTTGCTCCTCCATGGGGCACCTGCTCCAGAGCCTGGCAGAAGCTCTATGTCTGTTCACATTGAGGAGACCTTATTGGCTCAGGTCCTCATACCTGAACCTGAAGTAAAAGGCAATAGAAGTGAGGTCCCCATGATAGGGGCTAGCTGCCCACTCCCGACATATCAGGGCACAAACAGGGTACTAGAAACCACAGAGAACTGGGAAGGTCCAAGTGCCATCAGTTTACATGCACACCCATCATTACCCTCTCTTCTGACCTACCATGGACCATGGCATCCAAAGAGGGAGCATGTCAGAATGGAACTTCCTCAGTCACTTGCCCTTAGAAAGACATAAACACCTAATAAGTGCTGACTTAGCTCCTACATCAGTTAGCAGAGACGGGGCTTGGCAGGGGCCGACCTCAGAGGCTGTATCCTAGTGACAAGCACTGAATGGAGTGCTTCAGTTCTAAACTGGGACCCAAGAATAGCGTAGCCCAAGGTCATCAGCAGAACTGAAAAAAGAGGCAGGAATAGAATCTCCAAGCAACCACTGGGGGTGCCCATGGGACAGATGCTATGAGCCTCAAACACAGCAGTGGGCAGAAGCCAAAGGGCAGAGGGCATAGAGAAAAGCAAGCCTCGGCTATCTTTAGGCACATCCTGGTGCTGGGAACAGTGGTCCCAAGGCAGCGTTCTCTTCACAGACAGCCCGGCCAGTCTGGCCAGAGAATACGGTCCAGGAAGCCCAGCCAAGRCAGGGATTGTGGGACCTCGTAATTCATGCTCTCCATGCCGCCCATATGGGCCCCCCATCTCTCCTGCCTGTCTACTCTAGCCCTTCCAGGGTCACTCTAGAGAAGAACACTCATGGAGTGCTCAGAAGGTGTCTTGGGTGCACAGGGCTCAGAACCTCCATAGCAGGAAGGGGCAGAGCCACGACCCACTTTCTTCTTAGGCCCATGGCAATTCCAAACCTTCTTGGGGGAAACCAGGGACCTTGCTTGCATTCTAACACAGCATCCACTCCTAGCAAATGTTCAGGTCCTAAGCCCTTCATCTGTGCCCATTTCCGAGGATCCAGGGTGGCTCAGGAACACCTTCAGATGCTCCAATCAGGAGCAGCTGCTCAAAGCAGCTTTGAGGGGCTGGATGAGAGGGTGCATCCTGGAAGTTCAGGACAGGGCTGGAGCAAACCGCCCAGTCCCCTCCGTCAAATCATTCCCTGGACCAGGTAAGTACTTGAATTCAGAAACGTTGGGTGAGAGACAGGGTTAGTCTGGGGAAGGCTCAGCAGAGACCTCGGACCAATCAGTTTTCAGATGAATGAGAGAAGCAATGGAAGGCACCAGTGGGGAGAGAATTTCATGAGGGAGGGACTGTCCTCAATCACAGGCTTCCTCCCCTGACAGCTGCCCAGTCTGGCTTGTCCCTGGGGCAAGATCCCAAGAGAAAAATACAACCCTGGCCTTCTGGATAGGAAGTGGCATCTTTTTCCTTGTTCCTCTTCTGGTGCCAACCTGCTCCATCCATCAGTAAGCGTGGCTCCCTCTAAAACCTCACCGAGCCCTTGTTTCTCAAAGGCCTCATCACCACCTCTCATGTGCTCTGAGACAGAGGGCAAAGGAAGGGCCATGGCTTGAGGAAGAGGAATAGGGAGATTTTCTTGGAAGCCTCAGGAGAGGAATCAAGGGAAACGTTCTTTTCTTAACATTTTGGAGTAAGAAGGAACCAGAGAAGTAAAGAAAAAACAGACAGGTGGGAGGACCCCTTGGTCAACACACACTGAACATGTCCTGTGGCACAGCACTGGGTGGGTGTGTAAGTGGCCTCCTGTCCTCCCAGCAGGCTGAGCTGTGTCCTCTTAAGAGCACCTCTTGTGACGAGRACAGGGGAATGTGCCTCCTGCCTCTTAGCAGGCCTCTGCAGGGTCTGGGTCTGTGGTGGAACCTGTCCTGCTGTGGGCCTGGAGYCTGCTTCTGTCTAACCTGCTGGGTGAGGGGCTGCCTGGCTGGGCCTRGGGCAGCCTGCACATGTGGGAACCTGCACATGCTGCCCCATGGAGGCTCCTGGGCCCTCTGGTCATGGAAAACAGCTGGAGGGAGGTTACGGGGCAGTGCATGTCACAGCCCTCCCACCCCCCAGAGTCCGACCCTTGTACTCACCAACATCCCTTTGGCACCTTTTCCTACCATGGTGGCAGTGGTTTGGGGTCTCTGAAGACCAGATCACACTTACAAGTTCTGCTTCCAGCACCTTTTAGACCACGGACCTCAAGAGCTGTGGAGAAAGTAGAGAGTGAGGTGAGGCCCTGGCTGGACCTTGGAACTCTCCAGGAACAGGTAGCAGAGAACCCCACACCATCAGCTGAGGCCCTATGTCGCTCCCACCCTGGCCCGCCCCTCTGCCAGGTCATTCCTCATCCTGCTGTCTTCTGGATGACTCTCAGGTCCAGCCCCTTCCCAGCTCTCCCTCCAACCCTTCCCCTGGATCTCTTATTCTCCAGGCTTCCTGTCCCAATGGGCAAAGGTCTATTTTTGACTCTCCAGATGCCCAATCCTATAAAAGATAAAAAACGAACACAAAACTGGGATGGGGTCCAAGTCCCTCATCATCTGTGTGAATGGCCACAACCTTTCCCAGGAGGGGAGTCAGCTCCGGCCAGCACTTGCTCCCCAACCTCAGCCCAGTTAGGCAGTCCTTCTCCATCCTGATGCCACTTGGCTTGGGCTCCAGGGTGACGGAGCTTGTTGCTGCGTAACTCATTTACTCTACACACGCCAGACATACCAGGTGTAGTCCTGCGCCTTTCTTTTGCTCTGGCTGTGCCCAATTTTACAACACCTTCCCTCAGGTGCAATTCTGCAAGTCCTTTAGGTCTGGGCTTAAATATCACCTCCTCTCCATAGCCCTCTGGACACTTCCCCCACTAGCATGAACAAACTGCTTCCTCCTTTCTGTTTTGTGCAGGTTACTACTAGTGCTCTTATCATCTCATATTACACTTATTTGCTTTTAAGTCAATCAAGCACAAGTAGGTGAGTCCCTGAGGCCTTGTAACTGGGCTTCCTTCACCCCACTGTTCCCAGCACCTAGCACAGTGCTAAGCTAGTAAGAAGTGTTGGTTGAGCTGAAATGAAGGGTAATGGACAGGGCCCAAGGCATGTGAATGTGGCCCAGGTCAGCCTGGGATCTTATAGGAAGCACCTACAAGGCCATGCAGGAAGGTGAGCTGGCGAGGGTGGCAGACAGGCGGAAGGAGCCAATCCCATGGCAATGATTGTGCAATTTTTATTGAATGTGAGATGTGGAGAGAAAAGAATCAACCTTCAGAGAGACTGAAAGAGCTCCCGTGGGTCAGATGGGTGAGGAGACACCCTCCATAGGGCCAAGGAGGATTTGGCTGTCTCTGAGCCCTTCCCTTCCTTCTCAAGGGGCAGACTCCACTCTAAAGGCTATTCCAGGTCACTCTGTCTCACCTGTCAAGGGCCACCTCTCACCCACAGGAAGTCATTAATAGGCTGTGGGAGAGGTAAGGACCTCTTTGCCTATGCAAATCTGGTCTTGACTTCCTTATGCCATTTGCCCTGGCCATTTGGTCTCATGCAGGGCCTTCTCCTTAGGGTAGTTTCTCTAGTCACTGACCCAGGCTGGCCTCTGCCTCTCAAAATGTCTCCTAAAGAGGCCCTGCTCATGGCTTTTGTATTCTGGAGGCAGTTGGGAATAGAGAGGGCTGTGTCCTTCATAAGGGGATACACCCTTGTCTTCCTCAACCACTGTACCCCTGAATCCACTTTCTTGCTGTAAACTCTGGCTAGATTTGACTTCCCTAAAGCTATTTCCCTTCAGGCAAGGAGTAATAATGACAATGGTGATAGTAATAGTAATGATAGCAGATGGCATTACTATAGGCCCTCATGGGTCAGGTGAGTGACCAAGAACACTCTGTTGTGGGACTTCAACCGCAGTGTTCTCATTCAGGTTACCCCAGAGACTGACTTGGAGAGATTACAGGCCTGGCCTACAGTGGGGGCCTGAGTGAGCTTTTCAGACCTGACATCTGGAGTTAGGGATGTTGCTCAGTRGCAGAACACTTGCCTAGCATGTGTGAGAGTCTGGGTTCTATTCCCAGTAATGCAAAAGCAATTAAAGAACATCTCTGACTGGGGGACCAGCCACGCCCAAAATCTAGGACCTGGTAGGTCTGGGCTGGATTCTGGCTCTGCCAGTCACTAGGTACATGATTCCAAGTGTTGCTTAATCTCGTTTTTTGTTTTTGTATTGGGGATTGAACCCAGGAGTGCTCTATCACTGAGCTACATCCCCAGCCAATAATTGTAGTTGGATACAATACCTTTATTTTATTTATATATTTTTATGTGGTGCTAAGGATTGAACCCAGCACCTTGCACGTACTAGGAGAGCTCTACACCACTGAGCCACAATCCCAGCACCTCCATCCCTTTTTATCTTTGATTTTGAGACAGGGTCTTGCTAAATTGCTGAGGCTGATCTTAAATTTGTGCTCCTCCTGCCTCAGTCTCCTGAATTGCCGGGATTACAGGTATGCACTGCTCCCAGCCTGTTTAACCTCTTCGAGCCTTAGTTTTCTCAGTCTTGGAAGTGGGGCTAATCATTCCACAAATTCTGAAGTTTCTGCCTCATTTTTGTTTCTACTACAAGGCCTCCACATTTTCTTCCCCTCCAATCTGTTGATCTCTCCAAGTCCCAAAGTTCTGGTTCCCTGTGATAGTTCTCCGTAGCCCACAGGATATGGCCCACAGGATATGGCCTACATTGCTTAACAAGGCATTTAAGCTGGTCACAACTAAATTCATTTATTCAACAAATACTAATTGCAGGTCTGCTCTGGGCCAGACCTTTGTTAGGTCAAGAACTCAAAGGTCTCTGCTCTCCTGCAGCTTACACTGGGTGAAAAGCTGAATGAGTGCCACTGATGATTCAAACTAAATAATTACAGATTGAGATAAAGGGTGTGATGGAGAAAGATCCTTTTATGGATCTCTATAGCAGGTCTGAGAGTCAGAAAGGCTTCCCTGAGGAAGAGATGTTTAAGGGCCAGAAGGAGTTTATTAGGCAAAGGGGASATAGAAAGGAAAATAAGGGAGGCAAATGGAGAAAATGAAAGTAATGGGAAGGCTCACTACCCCTGGGAGGGGCTCAGGTAGCCAGGGAAAGAGGTGAAGGTGGACAATACTATTGAAGGCTTTTAAGTAGAGGATCAACTGGAGGGGAAAGGATTGCTGGAATGTTCACGTTTGTGCACRTTGCAAGAATCACCCTAGATATGGTGTGAAGAAAAGACTGGAAGGAGGTGAGAGTAGAACTCATTAGGAATGGGTCAGGCCAGAGAGGAAGGGGCTAGAATCAGGCCAGTGATGACAGGAAAGGTACACATATCTGAGAGAAATTTAGAGGATARCATGGTGGGACTTGGTGATGAATTACACTTCCAGGGGTAGTGAAAGACAAAGAAGGGTCTCTGGTTTCTGCTAGTGCAATGAGAGGAAGCTGGTGCCAATCCCGAGCACAAGGATACTGGTGGTGCTGCAGATCTGGAGGGCAAGAGGATCAGCTGGGTTGGACAAGCTGGCTTTGAGCCGTTTGTGAGCCACCAAGGTAGATGCTGAGAGGGCAGTCACAGTCCCCTCATTGCTGGCGTCTTTCCTCTCTTCCAAAAGGGAATGGAGCATTGACCAATTTGAAAGATCCCTCTAGACCAAGCCTTGGAGTCCTTGCTGGGAATGAAAGGTCTTTCCTGGCTTCAAGAACCTCACAGTTTAGTAGGAAGATACAGGAAGAAGCATAATCTTCATTCACTGGGATGGAGGTAGTGGAGGGGCAGTGGGAAGTGGGGAGTCTTAGTTCAGCCTGGGAGTCCAGGCCAGCTACCTATGGCCATGTTTGCCATGAGCCATTCCCAGAAGGCTCCTGTCTCCATGCCCTTGTTCAGGCAATGGCAGTGTCTCTGTCTCTCTGATWCTGGGGATTTAATTTAGGGGTGCTCTACCACTGAACTACTCCCCTGACCCTTTTAAATTTTTATTTAGAGACAGGATCTTGTAAGTTGCTTAGGACCTTACTAAGTTGCTAAAGCTGGCTTTGAATTTGCAACCCTCCTGCCTCAGCCTCCTGGAATTACAGGCGACTGCCACCACAATGGATGGTGAGAAATTTAGAGGATAACATGGTGGGACTTGGTGATGAATTACACTTCCAGGCCCCCTTTTAATTTTTTTTTCCTTAATTTTGTGAAGGTATCTCACTAAGTTGCTGAGGCTGGCCTGGAATTTTCAATCCTCCTACTTCAGCCTTCTGAGTAGCTGGGATTGCAGGTGTGCATCACCACRAGCTCTTCTCACCATTTCACCTGTATATACCCTACCTATCTTCAAAACCGGATCCAATGCCATTGTCTTCATGAAGCCTTCCTCCGTCCTCCTAGTTACTGTCAACCTTTCTACCATACCCCCAAAACACTCCATGCACTCTGACTAGTATGCTGGTCACATGTAGCGTTGCAGCATGCTTCCCWGAGTCCAAGTCTGGCTACCCCACTAATTGGAGAGCTCTTCCAGGGCAGAGGTGTGGTTCTTCTGTGTCCTCAGAGCGGGTACAGCTGCAGTCCCCGCGTAGACAAGTAAGGGGGCGTTTTTTCTCTGCGGTCCTTGGAAACTTGGGCATGCTCAGTGTTCCCCATTAGTCTCTAGAACCAGTCCCCTCACCCACTACTCTTCAACCTTCTGTTGCCTCACTTTGAGGGTTTTTTAACCTCTCAAGTTCTCKCTTTTCCCACTCCTTCCTCAACAGCCTTTATTTCCGAAGTGGTAGCAGACTGAAGCWTGCTTCAGCTAAGAAACAGACCAGGCTTTGTAAAGGAGCTGTCAGAGAGCGAGAGAGACGCGGCTCCTTTAAGAGTGATCSGAAGGGGGCGTGGCCTGCGGAGAGCAGGCCCGAAATGGGGGTGCGGCTCCTTTAAGTAGCGGCCGCCAACTACGCCTAGGCCCAGGGCCCGCGGGCAGGGGCGCGGTCATTTTTGGAGCTGCGGCCCCGCCCCGGTCGCTCCAGTTCGGTTTTAATCGGGGGACAAGGTGTGGAGGGGCGGGCGTTACATCAGCCACCACGTGTAGGCCTCTCAGCTGGCGCGGAGGCGGCGGCCCCGCCCCCGGCCCCTGCCGTGGAAAAGTACCGGGGCGCCGAGGTCCCCGCCCCCTGCCCCGCCCCCGGGCCGGCTCCGGCCCCTCCCGGCCCTCCGGGCAAGCCCCCTCCCGTCCGGCCCCGGCCTCGTCGCCGGCTCCCGCCCGGCAGTGGCCGCCCGGTGCTGGACGCCTACTGGGGGTGGGCATCCCGGGCTGCTAGGCCCGTGACCTCACCTGTGGCCGCCCGGGCTCGCCCTAGGCGCGCTCGGAATGAGGGCTGCGGTGGGGAGGGCGCAGATTTTTTTTTCCAAGATAGCAGCCCCCGAAGAACTCCCGGCCCGCAGTCCCTTCCCGAAGCCGCGGCCACAAAAAGAGCCCGGGGACAAAAAGAGCCCGAGGGCGCTGGGACCGTCCCTCACAGCTTTCCAAGCCACGGGCGCGCGGGAACCCGCACCCGGGTTGGCGAGTGGGCTGGCAGATAGGGAGGCCGGCCGGCTGGAGGGGCCAGATAGGCAGCCAGGCCGGCCGGCGGCGAAAAGAGATAAAGCAAGAGCCAGAATGCGGGGCGCAGATCTTGCCCGTGGGCTCCCGGCCCCCGGCGCAGACCCACTGGCGCCCCAGACGGACCGTGCCACGCTCTGGTTCAGCGCTACCCGCACAGCCCGGAGCCAGCCGCCCCCGACCAAGCCGGCGTCTGCACACAGCGCCCCCTTTCCGAGAGTGCCCCCCCCCCCGTTCCCGCCGGCTTCAGCGCCTAGGTGACAGCGGTGACACCCAGACGCGCGCACCTACCCCGACCTTTGCGGCGAGACAGACATCCTGGTGCGTGCACCACACTCTTACCCACAGATGCCCGCATGCATGCGCGATCACACACAACACACATACCACACGCACACGCTGGTCCCGGGGCTCAGCCCCGCAGAGCCACCAACCGCACMGACCACCGGCAGGACCGACCGAGGTGCGGGCCGCAGCATCCCTTCCCTCAGCCCCCTTACCATGCTGCAGCCCCCGGCCCAGGCGTGCTGGGTCCGCACCGYGGTGCGCCCAGGTGGCTTTCTTAAAGGGAAAGTTGCATCAGCCTCCCGAGGCTCTGTGCCGGCGCGAGTCCGCCCGCCCCGCCGCGGCTCCTCCAGAGCTTGTTGTGTTTTGGTTTCGGGGAGGCGGGGGCTAAGAGTTTGGTGAAAGTTTGGAGAGTGGAGAAGGCTTGGGAGACCTAGCCAAGTCCCTCCCCTCCCTGAACAGCTCCCCTGGCCGCTCTCCCCCCTCCCCCTTCCCATCCCCTCCCGTTTGCCGACTTCTCAAGCTCCTCCTCCCAGGGAATAAAATTACAAGTCACTCCAGCTTTTCAGTTGATTGATCCCCACGAACCCCTGGGAGTGGGGCTCCGCAATGGAGACCCCCTTCTCCGCCCCTACCTCACTGCCCTCCAGCTGAGGCCCTTGGAGAAAGCAGATGTCGTCCCCTTMGGGTTAGGCTGGAATGAAGCCAAAAGGCCTGGGGCACTTTGGGGGACTGGGGCTGCAGTTAGCCCGCCAGGCCCCTCTGGTCTTCTGCGCCTGCGTTTCCCCTAGAGAGAAGTCTGAGCAAACTCTGTTCCCTTAGGAGCAAAGCCGCTAGAGACTATGGGCACAGCTGGTTAAGGCCTGGGTCCTACTTAGAACCAGAGGACTGTTTCTCCACAAACTTTCTTTGGACACTGGTTTGGTCAGCCCTGCTCGGGCGGTGGTGCTACAGGGACTACCCATCAACTGTGCTTCCGCCTCCCTCCTTAGAGAAGCAAACCTGGGTTCCAGTCCCTGTTAAAGGAGCCTCGGCCAAAAGGTGCTTTGCTGAGCCTCATAAACTAAGGAAATGCGTACATGTGTACATGAAGTGCATGGCTCTAAGCAGGGCAGGGGTGCTCAGGTGTTTGGACTGGGGCCCCTATATTTGCTTACCTTGAGAGAGCCAGAAACTGTCAGGGAAAGGGGCCAGTTAGTTACTAGTGTCAGAGGAACTCTTGTTGCCCCAGTCTGAGAGGAGCATCTGTTCAGAGAAGGCCCTAGTCTGGAGAGAAAGACTCCAATCTGCATGGAGTCCTCACCATTGTCTGGCCAGGAAACTGATTTTATTTTTCCTCTGGAGACAATCAAAAATCTAAAGCATAGGGCTGGGGATGTGGCTCAGTGGTTCAATGCCCCCAAATTCAATCCCCAGTTAAAAAAAAAAAAAACAACAACAACAATCTGATGCATACATAACAAACTCACATAAGAACAATTGATGAGTAAGATTCCAATTTATTAAATTATAACCAGAGGTGCTGAACAAAATAACAGGTGTGTAGCCCAGAAGCTTCCTTCAGCTTCTCAGGCATCCACAGTTCCCCCTCCTCCTCCCAGGGCCAGGGCTAGGGCCATATAAAAATTGTTCTGAACCCTATGAGACTTACAACCYATTCAAATTGGAGACTTGATCAAATCTGAGAAGACACTTATGTTCCTTTTACTTTGTCCCCAAACCTAGCAGATCCACCAGGTTTCCTATGTGCCAATTGCAGGTGTTCTGTGTGTTCATGCATGCTTGTATGTGCACATATACCTTTCTTTACCTGAGCAGTCTTCCAATCTGTGGACCCTCCCTCTGTGTGCTTGTCACTCTGGAAGAGTGACTGYGAGCGCTGCAACAGGTGTGTGTAGTTATGTGTGTCCAACTCCTAGGACTGGGCAGATCAGATCCAAGCCATTCTCATCTCCTCTGCCAAGACTTAACTCCTTCTACAAATTGTTTCTGATCTCTCCTCCCTGCCTCCTGCCTTCTCCCTAAATTGTCAAAAAGGGCTCCCTCCCAGGGAGTGGAGGCTGTCAGAAGAAGCCCCCAGTAGAGTACGAAATAAGGAAAGGTGTGAGTGGGAAAAGGCCTCCCTCTTTCACCTTCCTGCCTCGAGCAGTAAACTAGGGTGGGGTGAGTCTAGAAGGAGGCACCAAAGAGGTTCTGAGAACCCTCAGCAAAGGTTCTGAGAATTTTCATGGCCCAGGCAAGTGGAGCTACCCACCTCCCTTAAAGTGGAGCTATCCACCTAACTTAAGGATCTATATGAAGGGAGGCAATTACAGGATGCTGAGAGCCAGACCCCCACCATGCCTTCAGGCCTGGGGCTAGGGCTCATGGGGATTGGCAAAAGAGAAGGAAAAATGTGCTCAGAGGTTCTAACCCTAAGAATTTGGGATTCACTTAGGGACAGGGAGGTAGCCTAGCACTTTAGCCTATGGGGTGGGGAAAGAGAAGATTGTCATTGGGGTATTTGGGGAAGTTGGAGACATTGACCAGGAAGGTTTTGCTAGACTAACAGTGACACAACATGAAGCATATCTACATATAGAGATTAATGGGTGTGCACTTTACCCACCTTGATACATGAAGAGCTTCAGGCAACCACATATTGAGCGAGTCCTGAGGAGAGGCTTATGAGAAAGATTCTGATTTGGAAAGCTATCTCCATGAGACAGGAACTAAAGCTGCTGGTTTTTTCCGATCAGAATAAGGTCTCACGGGAAGCAGGTCTGGGCCTAGCCCAGGTCAGAGCCAGGATGGCCTTTGTGCCTGGCTGTGAGCTCCCCACCCTGGGCAGCTGGCCCACAGGGAAGGAAGAGCATGGTCACCAGGACCACTGTGGGAAAAGAGGACAGACAGGAGACCGGAGGACAGACAGATGGGGTCAGACGTCCCAGCCTGCCTACTGCCTGCAGGCTGGGATGTCTGRGCAGGGCAGCAAGAGGGCAGGCAGCCGGCTGGGCCCCACCCAGGGCAGTGGCAGCGGGCTGAGGCGTGTCTCAGGAGCCTCCAGTTACAGTGCTATTTCCTGGGGGGGCTGTGCCCAGTATTGGATCCCCCAGTGCTCATTTGTCATCAGCCAGCAGGATCAAGACCTTTGTGTTAGCATATTCAGAGTCAGTTTAAGTATGTGTTTGATGGGAATAGGGACAATGCCAGACCTGAGCCATTTCTCAGGGCTTTATAGGAGTGGCAGCACCAGGCACCTTGGTGGAGGGGTGCTGAGTACCTTGCTGAGAAGTTGGGGGCAGGCGGACTTTGCTTTGAATTGGAGCTTGGCCTGACCAGTGATCTCGACCTCCTTGGGGTCCCAACCCCAGCTGGTGGGAAATACTATTAGGAACTGCTCTCAGAGTCTTCCGGTCTTGAATTTAGAGTCCAGTGGTCTGTGCCTAACACCTTCCCTGCCCTGACCCAAATGCAAGGCTGTGACTTAGACCAGCTCCAAGAGTTGTCTCTGGAGTCCAGGTATCTCTCAGGCCATTCTGTCTCCCACTACTGGCAGCACAAACTAATCCAGGTTGGATCCCATGGCTCCAGGTAAAATCAGGCATACAGATAAGAAGCGCTGACTTTGGTACTGACAGAAGACAGGCTCAATCTCTAGAATAGTCAATGCTCAGATTTCTAAATATTTTAGGCTCTCAAGATCCAGCCTTTCCAGTGCTGGGAGTACCAGGGTTCCCAACCTTATAGAGGACCCAAAACCCAGAGTTTCCAAAACCCATAGTCCCCAGTGCCCCAACCCTCAGGGGTCTAATGCCCAAGGTCCCCAGCATCTCTACTGCCCAGTGCTCCTAACATCCAACTTTCAGAGCACCAGTGGCCCAATTCACTGGAAAAGAGGGGAAGGGGGTGCCCGTGCATGATCAAGGTTCCTTCGGTGACTGGTATGATCTGGGGAGTGGCCGTGACTGAAGCCAGCTGAGGTGCTGCTGGTAGAAGCAGCATTGCTTCTCTGATTACTCCCATCCTGGGTCTGAAGAGGTCAAGAGAGATTGCAGGAAGGATGGCTTGTCCTCCCGCCCCGCCTAGTCACAGGGATCAATGTAATTCAGAGTCCACTTGTCAAATACTTGTGCACATCTACCATGTGCTGGGAATTCTCCAGGAATACAGCCATGGGAGAAAAGGGACTCTTGCTCTCACATATGGCTGGTTAACGGTGTGTCTGTATCGGAGTGTTAGTGCGGCTTGGCACGTGGCTGGCTGCCTGTGGCTCACGTGTGGCCAAGGGCAGGGCTGTTGGTATGTGGCGGTGTGGTGTGAGACCGTGAGCTTAGAGTCAGCAGGTTGATGCATGTGACCGTCAGAGCCAGTCTGGCTGCCCAGTGGTCTGGCCATCCTAACAATCCCTCCCTCTTCACTGCTATTCCAAGAGATGGGATACAAGGCCTTCCTTTGCCTCAGACACTCAGGTATTGAGTATCTGGTCTCCCTGTGGGAAAGACAGGGCTGGTTCCAGCCCTGAGGCTGACCCCAGAGCCACCCTGCACTGTAGTGATTTCTCCTATTATCCCTGCCCCCTCTGGACCCAGAGCCTCTTTGGATTGGGAAGACAGGAAGAGGGGTGGCTATTAGTGGAGCAGCTAACACCAAAAATAGCCATTTGCCCTGGGGAGGATCCCATGACACCACCCCCTCCTCTCAGTCCAGCCACTGACCTGGAGCCTGGGTAGGGCTCCTTTCTGACTCTACTTTTCTWACTTCTGTCTGAGTAACTTTCTGGAACTTGAACAGGGGGACCAAAAAATGATGTCACTACAAATGATGACATCATAAAGAGTTATGACACCCCAAGGAGCAACACCAGGGTGGGGAAGCGACCTTCTGTGTAGGTGGGAGGGGCAGCTCCCCACAGCTCCCAGCAGCTGGGATGGTCTGGCTGGATAAACCCCTGGGTGGGTCCTGYTTTATCAGTTCCCCACAGACTTCCGGTAAGCCTCCTACCATGGGCTGGTCCAGGGACAGGTGGGGAGCAGGCTGGAAGAGGGGAAAGGGCCAGCTGGAGCTGGCTGAGCTCCAGGGAAGACAGCAGGGTTGGGGAGTGCTGGCAGAACCCCAGGAAGAGGAGGCAGGGGGCACTGGGAGAACATGTGGGTTGCCGTTCTTTGGGGGCACAGACTTTAGCCAGGCTGCCTGCCCCCTGGATCTTCTGTTGGACACCCGTGAAACTGAGTCCTGATCTCCTCAACTTTCCCCACCAGGAGTACTAACTATTGGCAGTGACTATCAACCCTGGG